GAACCACAGATTGTGTTTTCGGCAAATACCCACTTATACATAACACCACGTACCTGTAATTTCACCAGCACCCTTATCCTTCAAAACCGAAACGCAATAATGCTGACATTACTGCTTGGCGGCAGAAATAGGTAAGGTGGCAGTATTTCCCTGGACGAACTCTTTCACAAGGAGCTTTACTGCTACTAAAAAGTAATCAGCATCATAGTTTACTCGTCAAAATTAATTTCATGAGCCTAAACATTATAGTTCTGGTGCAAGTAATTGAGTAGTTGGGTATTCTGCGGACTGTTCTGATCGCAGCATTAGATCAAGGCTACCATATTATTGTAATGTTATTGGATTTCCATAGCATAGCATACCCTTTTTCCAGTCGACAAAAATTTTGTTATTGAGATCCCTACACTAACTGGGAACAGAGCTGATATCTTGGAACAGCGTGGAAGAGGGAACAGCTGAAGAGATGTTCGTCAAACGTAGTCAAAAACCATTCCGATAAAATTTGCAAATAAAAAATTTTTTTCACAATAAGAAAGCGGACAATTCCTTCAAACTTATAACACTCCTCATTTTGCGTCGTGGCTTAAAAGGCAATTAACACACTGCACCGCGCCTCGCGACGGTGCGCGAGACGCGGATCACGCGCGAGGTAGCGGAGACGCAGAGTCAACGCGCGGTTTAATCTACGCGGGGGCAGCGGTCTAGCGACTTCGCGCCACTCAAAGTACTCGCTTCGTAGTTGATCGCCGTAGTGATTGCACATGTAGCTGAGATCCTTCTTAGACAGGAATGGTTAATAATACAGAACTCATTCAGGACGCTGCAGTTATACTGTCGATTGTTTTTATTTACTCAAATAAAAAGACACCGAAGATAACATTCAACTTTATTACAAAGATTTAAAAAAATATTAAGATTAATTTTTCAACTACACACGAATGTCAACTGAATCCTTTGATTATTTGTTAGGGAACATCCGAACGACAATTAATCGACTTGACACAAATTGATTAAAAATCTGAGCGGTAGTGCGGAGCGCAGTGTGCCATACCTTGCGGTTCGCCGCGCCCCTCCGCGCGGGGGCGCGGTAAAACCGTGCACGCCGCGCTACCTTGCGGAGAAGCGTTGAACAGTGTGTTCGACGGCGCGTGTTTTCCATACAAATTGAGGCACTTCATTACAACGTTAAAAAACACCGCTCCGTCGCAGGGTGCGGTGCAGTGTGTTCGCACCTCTATAATTTTTCAAGTTTTCATTGAACGTCACGATGTTTTACTACCATGATATTCAATTATTTTTTGTGAAATTGCACCACTAGTTTGTTATAATTTATTAATAACAAAGATCGAACACTAAAGAAAAAATCCTTCGATCCAGTTGAATTCGTACCGACACACGTCTTCTAGCAAACCTAAGACGCTATGCCAACTAAGCCATGGAACGAACCAGCGAAAGTAACGAATTTTTGTACGTGCTTGTCGCAGATCTTCGTTGTCGATTTTTTTAGCGACTTTATATGCCGTAGCGCCATCAGTGAGAAATTTACGTACTCTGTAGTCAAAACAACATTGGAAATGTGTTATCGCTTGCGTAAGTATTTTTTTGTATTTCTAGTACCTGCTCTTCAATTCATCTAGGCCTATTTAAAGTATCACAATTTATGCAAGCGCTCCTTCAACACGCAATTTAAAATTCTCTTTCAAAACTCAAACAATAGGAAGTGGTACTCAAAACAATTAAATAATAAATGCAATCGCCGTGTTTGCTTTGTAAACGGCAGTAAGAGGGCTAACTGATGAAATCTAAACTGAATTTGCACGCTCGCCTTGCGCCCGGATGACACGAGTTTGAATTAGAAAAGAACAGCGTGGTTGGAAGATAAATACTCTAAGAGGGATTGGGGTATGGACTTTGACTACCAGGGATTTCGCTTAGTGAGAAAGAAGCGCGCACGACACGTGCCCGACGTTGTCCGGCGCGAGGCCGCCACGTGACCGAACGTCGGCGGACGACCGACAACCCAATTCCCCGTTCAAACCCGCCCCTGACAATGTTTTGGCGGGAAAAGAGGGCATTTATAATTCGAACAGGAAATATTACACGCTAATTTTGTCACATTTTGGGGAATAGATTGATTTTGTGTGGTCGGAATTGCTTGAGTGATTTATGATTGTCGTATTAGGCGATGATTTTTCATTCTGTTTGTTGTGAATTTTGCAGCGGTTTCTAATTACTTTTGAGTGCCTATTATATGTTTAAGTCTAATCCTAAATTTTGTATTGTACCTATTTTTTTCCTCGTAAATAATTTTGGCAGAATATACAACAACCACCCGTTGCAGGTTCTGTTCTGTTGTATTAACTTCTAAGTAAACTGCAATGCTTGTTTATGCTACGAGATATTCAATACTACATATAAATATAATTAGTTTAGATAAATTGTTAAAATATTTTTATAAGAAATAACTTTGTAAGCATTGTGTATTAGTCTCTGAGCAGACTATTAAAAACATTTAAATTCGAATAAAGTTTGTGTCCTCTATCTTTTCTGACGCAGCCTTGGAATTAAACGTGATATTAATACGATCTATTATAAATAATTAACCATACAACGTCGTCTTTATGACATCACCATATTGTAATAGAGTAGTGCTAATGATCAATAATAACCATCTTTCCAGCAACCAATTTGACAAGTTTCATTGACATCATCGTACCTTATGGCACCTAAGTACTTATTTGCTATATTAAGTAAAATCGCTGTTTGTAAGTAGTGCCGTGACATCATTGTAGTGTATGTCTTCCATATAAGACGAGATAAGTATATAATCTAATGTTTGTTTCTCATAACATTTGATTATATGCCATACTTGCAAAGGTAAGAGCACAGTACACCCATTTTTGGTAGGTAAGTAAGCTAAAAAAATGAAACATTTCTAATAAATTGACCATTACATTATAATAATATTATAAAAAAAATACGTGACAAACCCTACATGTTGTAGAAGGCTCTCAAAACTATAAATTGTTAACATGCAAAGTCGGCTCCCATTAAGTCAATATTCTCGAAGGAGAGGTTCCTAGAAATAACGTTTGCACAACCGAGAGATATATATTTTTAACGACGTCAAAAAAAGGAGGAGGTTCTCAATTCGACTGTATGTTTTTTTTTGTATGTATTCCGGTATTTGTGAACCGATTTTCATGATTCTTGTTTTGTTGGAAAGAGGGTATCTCCATAGTGGTCCCATTTAATTTTGAAGAAAATCATCTACCTCCAAGGGTGGCTGTTCACGCATGAACATAAATTTTTATAAATAGCGCCTAAATTTTATTAGAAGCAGCAATTATTTTAATGGTTGATTTTGCTATTCTCCAATTCAAGGCGTTTTTCTCTCTCGGTATACTTTGAGAAATGAGAACCGATTTTTATTCTATTTTAGTGGCTAACTAGGGGATGAATTCGGGTTTGCATGAATGAAGTCGGTTATCGGGTAGTGGACCCTATAACCGACTTCAATAAAACATGGTAATTATATATGATTCCACATACTTTTGAAATCGGTTTTTTAGTACTCTGTACTGAGATAATGTGAATCCCAAGAACCAAGTTATATGATCTGAGTAGCTTATACTTATATGCTTATACGATTAGGCACCTTGTCGGATTATCTGGCCGACCAATTAAAGAATATAATTATTCTAAAATGATTCTGGTTGGGATGTTTTGAATAGTACCTACTTCCGAGATAATTTCCTAATACAACATGAAATTTACTAATTTAAATTAGGTCAATATCTTAGTGTCTTGCTTTAACCCACTGGGGTAGTTCATCGTTGCCTGTTGCCTGTTTATCGACTTTCTATAGAATATGATATATGACAATGTGTCAGACATCCATATCAAAAGCTTGGTCTCAAACTAGGGAATTCTCTGTACTATGAGTACTAGAGCAACGGAATGAACTCCGGAGCACTCTGGAATACGGAACACCCAGAACACCTAGACCGGAACCGATTTAG